CTTCCTTCCTTCCTTCCTTCCTTCCTTCCTTCCTTCCTTCATCCCCTTCCTTCCTTCCTTCCTTCCTTCCTTCTTCCTTCCTTCCTCCCTTCCTTCTTCCCTTCCCTTCCCTTCCCTTCCCTCCCTCCCTTCGCTCTGCCACATCCCAACAGTTTCTTTTTCCCTCCCCAAATCAGGCTCGCTGGGCTTCTCCTCAGACGTGTTCATCATGGACACCATCGGAGGCGGGGAGGTCAGCTTGGGGGACCTGGCAGACCTGACTGTCACCAACGACAATGAGCTGAGCTGCGATGTGAGTAGCCTCGGGGATGCCGCCCACAGTGGCCGCCAAGCCTGTCGCCCCTTCGCCTGCCTCGCCCTCTCGCTCCCCTCCCTGCAGCCGCTCTGCTGCGCTCCCGGGTGGGCCGAAAGGGAGGGCTCTGCAGGGCGACAGGCGCTGAGTCTTCTCTCTCCTGCTTCCCTCAGCTCTCGGACAGCAAAGACGCTTTTAAGAAGACGTGGAACCCCAAATTCACCCTGCGGAGTCACTACGACGGCATTCGAGCTCTGGTCTTCCACCACCGGGAGTCAGCTTTGGTCACCGCCTCGGAGGACGGCACTCTCAAGCTGTGGAACCTACAGAAGACGGTGGCTGCCAAAAAGTGAGCCCTCCCACCCTCCCCCTGTAGACCTATCTGTATCTTCCACCCACCCACCCATATCCATCCATCCATCCATCATCTATCAATACTACCTAATCTATTTCTATCTACCTTTTAACTATCTTTTATCCATCTATTAACTATCACCTTCTACCTTTTAACTACCTATCTTTTATCATCTATCAATACTATCTATCTAATCTATTTCTGTCTTTTAACTATCAATTTATCATCTTCTATCTTTTAACTACCTCTTTTATCTATTATCTGTCAATACTATAACTAATATCAAACTATCAATACTACCTATCATCTATCAATATTATCTATCTATCTATCTCTGTCTATATCTCTATTATCTATTTATTATCTATTATCTATCTATTATCTCTCTCTCTCTCTTTCTATCTATCTATCTATCTATCTATCTCTATCATCTTTCATCTATCTATCTATTTCTCTATCTCTATTATCTATCTATTATCTATTTATCTCTCTCTATATATATATTATCTCTATCTATCTATCTATCTATCTATCTATCTATCTAATCTATCTCTATCTC